CATCGATGCGTCAAAAACTACGCGCAAATGAGTTGTGAGAGAAGTGTCTTTTTCTACACTGTGGTGAGGCAAGAAATATTTGTTTTCTGAGTGTATATTCTGCAGAGACAACGGAACATATTTTGCATGTCCTAATTCAACATACTCATCTATAAAAGCTTTATATTGTTTATAAAGAGAATTATTTTTTGGGAATTTGTTCTCCAAATTTAGAAATCGCCTTCGCGCCATTTGGAAAGAGTCGCCCAATTTATTATTTTCATTAGGCGTGCATAGGGGTAAATCTACTTGAAACTGTCCATTCGGTAGGATTTGTGTTGTGGCTTTAAATATTTTCTCAGCCTTTTCATCATCAGGACTTAAACGCTTAATTTCGGGAAGTTCTTCAATGTCCCAAAACCTTTGGAGAAGATTATTTATATTTTCTTCTTCGGTGTGAGATTGAACAAATAAAGAAATATGATTCGAGTGTGATTCGTTACAGTTTGAGTGAGAGTGCATCTTTTTCTTAGATGAAACTTGCGGAGATAGGTTACCGAATATGACATATCCTAAATGAGTGTTTTGAAGCACTGGAAGACCTGCTCCAATATGAATTAAACCATCCTTTAATAAATCACAGTAAATTCCTGCACCTAATAAGAGATCGATTCTACCTGGAGAGGAGTAAGAGGGATCACTGAGCTTTATGCCAGCTGGTATTTTTATTTTGCTACGATCTAGAGGTACCTGAGGTATTTTACACGTAATATTGTCCAAAACTGCACATGATACTTTAAATTTCATATCATTGTTTTTATGTGGGAAAAATTCAATGTTTACCATTTCATTTGAGATCGAACATTTTTGAGAGATTGTGGAAATTTGTAATCTTTTATTATAAGTAGAGTAATTTAGTTTATTTACTAAATCTTTTGTTACAAAGCTCGATTGAGATCCATTATCGAGAAGACATCTTGCGTGTACAGGTTGTCCACTTTCAGAGTAAATTGTTACCAGCGCTGTGGCTAGCAAAACTTCGTTTTTTGGATTGAAAGTTGAGAGAGAAGAGATGCAAGATGAATTTTGACTTTGTGTGTCAATAGACAATTTTCATTTGTCTGAGTGCTTAAGTGAGTAGAAGTGTTTGGTGATTCATTATATGAATGTGGAGAATTAATTCTTTGAGTAACTTGTGCATTATTACTCCTTTGAGGAACATGAAAATAACTTTGTGAGATATGTGGTGCACTATGGCGAGTTTGTGAATCACCCTGTATACTTGCGGACGATTGAGAGATTTGTGGTGCATTAAAGCGTGATTGTTGCCTATTGGCGTGACTTTGATTACCATCATGTGAATTTGAAGCGCTTTGATTGCTTCGAGTGGGAGAGAATAAATTATTTTCATGAGTGTGAGAAAAATTATTTTCTTCATGCAGAAGTGTATTGTGCTTTTTATTGCAAAAGTTACATGTGTATTTAGAGATGCCTTTATCAGTAAAATGCTTAGTGCCAAAACAGTTTCTGCAAAGCTGTGCTTGCTTTACAAAATTAAACTTTTCGCGAGAATTTGTGTCTTTAAATAAGTTACACTGATATATTTTATGACCAGTTTTGTATCTTTACAAAATATGCAATTTTCATAGCTAGATTTATTATTATTTATAGTGGAAATATGATCAGTTTTTTGAGTGACTTTATTATTAAACTTTGAGTTTCAGTGTAATTAAGTTTCTCTAAAACATCACATCTTTTTTCTAAAAATTCAAGAAACTGTTTGAGTGTTGGAACATTCTTAGAACCTACTTCATATTCAAAAGCCTTGTGAGAAGCGAAATCTATTTTTTCTAAAAATATTTCTATTAAAAGGAGGTCCCAATGTTCAATTGGAACTTCGAGATTATTAAGAGCTTGAAGCGTTTGCTTCGTGTGTACAAGAAAATCTCTTAGTACCTTAGGAGTGCATTTGACTAGAGATTGAGACTTTAACAGATTTTTTATAAGAGTACTAATCACTCGTGATTTGTCATCATATCTTTCTTTAAGTGTTTTTATAGCGATAGCAAAATTTGCATCTACTACTTCGATACTGCTAATTAAGTTTAAAGGTTCTCCTTTGAGAAAAGATTTTAAATATATAAACTTTTGTACATTATTTAAACTTGAATTGTTTGTGATTAGAGTTTCAAATAGTTGAAAAAATTCATTGAATTCTGAGAAATTGCCGGTAAAGGTTTTCATGCTAATTTCAGGCAGGCTCGCACTGGAAACAGCATTATTATTTGAGCTAGGTGCTTTATTTACTGTTAAATTTAAGTCTATTATTTTTCTTTGCAAACCTTTGAGTGTGTTGAAGTATTTTTCTTCAACATTTGCTCGATCAGCTGATTGTTGGTCGCTGTCATCAGTCTGTTCGATTTCTAATTGAATTTGTTCATATTGTGTGAACAAATTAAAAAGTTTTTCTTTCCTATTTTCAAAATCAAGTATTTCGTTTTTCTGTGTCTTTATTAGCTATAAACCATTCTGAGATACGTGTAATTGATGCTTAAGTGATTTGCGCTTTTTTTAGAGCTTCCATTTTTTATTTAAAGTGAATTTATTTGCAAATATACGTTAAGCGAGAAATAAGAGTGAATAATTTTGTTTAGTGTAAATGTCTTTTTTAACTAAGACGCGTTTTTAATTTTAATAGAGTATTTGTTACTAGAGTGATGAACAAATATTTTTCGTGAGAGCGGGCTGTGAGACAATCAGTATAATAAATAATTGTCAGCTATCTTTAGCGATACTGAGAAGAAAGATCTGTTGTCAAATCAAAGCCATTAGTGAATATAAATATAAGTAAACAAATAAAAGTCGAGACAAATATCTACCAAATATAAATTATGGCCATGCAGTGATTATAGAAAATAGAAAGAGTTTTAACCTCACCAAATGTTTTGCAAGTATCCAATTTAGTTACCACTGTCACTTAGCAACACATAACGCACTTTTCACAAAACACACGTGTCTAATCTTGAACGAAGGTCAACTTGTGCAATCTTTCTTCTTGTTGTTCTTTGGCGTGTGTAATCCTTTTCTTTCTTCAGTCCTGTTTTATCAAATAATCCGTGTTCGATAGGACCACACAAATAGGGGAGCCATGTAACTGGCTACCTACATCGTGAGAGTTGAAAATCTTTTGATTCCAAGCCTTACTTCAAAGGACTTGTGAATGGATGCATCTCCATAGGTTTGGATCTTCAGTGACCGTTGAAGGATAAGGATTCTTAATGTGAGCAAGTATAGCTCCAGAGAAATAAAATCACTTTTGAGTTTATCGATTTATAATTAAATCTTTTAAGAGTAGAGAGGCCCAACACGGCCGTAACTTACTATACAATATCAAATGTACTCTTTCTTTATAACACGTAAAATAAACACGAGAGAATAAAACGAGAAAATGCCCTAATTCGGCGGAGAGAAATGTTATATTTAACACGTGAATTGCGAGTTCTTAACTACTCGCTGTGATGGCTCCAGGGCCATGTGTAAAGTTGAACTGCTCTTACTGAACTGATAAAAAACTACATAATGTGTAAAATGAGAAGATTACCCCTTTTGTATTTAGGTGTGAAAAATATTCAACAGGGTCAGACGTCAAACGCCAGGGTGTCGCGTTCAAACTTGATACAGTGTGTTCTAGTTATTATACACTAAGAAAAGTCAAAGAATTATAATTTTATTTTATATTTTAAAAACAATATGTTCATTTCTGGAACATATACAATAACTAGCAAAATACATTTAGATGTTGAATCTACAACATATTTACGTGAGAGATCGAGTGATACTGAATCAGGACCATTTGGAGTCGAAAGTGATGATAATTACATTGCAAGTGAAGATGGAAGTAGCGAGCACGAAGTATTAGTAAAAAAAAACAAGATGGAAAAAAGCTAATCCGAAAAAATGGAAGAAGAATATTAGCAAACAGAACATATCGTTATGTATACCCTACATAAGAAAAACTGGTATTAAAAGTCCAAAGAAACCTCAAAAAGTCAACTGCCAAAACTGTAAGTTTCAATGTTCAACCAGTTTTTCTGAAGACGAACGTTAAAAGTTATCCACAAGTTTCTGGAAGTTGCAGTATCAAAGGCAAAAGGACTTCATTTTATTTTGTGTTTCGTGGACTAAGCCAAAATATCGAAGAGTCCGTACTGGAACAGGCACTAAGAAGGGAACGTCGAGGAAATATCATTTCCAGAAGAATGAGAAAAAAATTCAAGTTGTGAAAGGTATTCTTTCTTAAAACTCTTTGCATTAGCCACGGTCCTGTGGATAGAGCTTTGAAGGGAGCAAATGCAAAATGTAAATGAATATACATTGTTTGCTATTTCAGACAGCGGAGGTCATTATGTTCGATGAAACAAAACACCTGAAGACATTATTGTAACAGTAAGAGAACATATTGCCAGCTTTCCTGCAATGGACTCCCATTATTGCAGGAAATCGTCAAAGCGTCAATATCTACATCCAAGCTTATCAATTTCAAGATATATGACTTATACGTCAACAAATGCAAACAAAATGATAAACAATACGTTTCAGAAATTTCGTACCATCGTATATTTGGAAAATAATTTAATTTACCTTTCTTTCGCCCTAAAAAGGATCTTTGTGAAGTATGTGAGAAACACAAAAAGAAGTTAATATCAGACGAAGATTACTCAGCTCATATATAGCGCGACGTGATGAATCAAATCAACTCAAGTGCAATGACCAGGTTAGATCAAATGCAGATACTAATTTTATAAGTGCAACTTTTGATCTACAAAGCGTTTTATATATTCCAACGTAAATTAAGGGTAAATTATTTTAAAATATAAGGAATATTGAACAAAACAAGTATTTCGAATATCAGTAGCCGTTTTTCTAGTAATATTCGTCTAGTTGGAAACAGCTCACTGTATACATATTATCTACTAGTTAATAAAGTGAATTAAGATTCACAGAATACTAAAGAAACTTACTTTATATAATATGTGCGGATTACACTATGTTCATCTAAAGAATTAATCTGAAAGTTTCCATTAGAATTGGTTTGGGAAATAATTTTTCCGATAAAAGCTAATTGGTCTTCCCCACTGTCCTCTATTTGTATATTTTGAAGCACAACAGTTTGCACCTCTCCGTTTTCTTCATCTGTTCTTTCTATTTCTATTATATTTGTTTGTGGAAGTTGTGCATCTTCTTCAGAATATTCAGTTTTTACCTCTGATTTTACTACCGCTGTGGACAGCGATGGCTGATCCATGGCTCTGCATAAAATAAGTATAAATTAAGAAAAGTAATCAAAAGTTTGATAAAGTTGTATATCTTAAAATTTTACAATAAATTTTCTCGGACAACTATATGAACACACACAAGATGAATCTTGCGTCACTGCAAAATATTCAAAATTCATCTTCCTGCAAACTAGATCAGAGATAAATAACTTTGAGTAGGTATAACCAACAGTATAAAAAAAGTATAAAACTTCTTTATGTCAATAAATCTGGTTGAAGGGTAGTTGCAGTAGAAGGTGGAGATTTGTAAACCCTTAAATATTTTCAGTAAAATAAAAAATGGCTAAGATAATTTTTCAGAGTAAAATTTAGCCAGGTGCTTTCAAAATTGGATCAAGCAATAAAACACTGAAAACTTTTGTTTTCACCACTTCCACAAATTTTATTATGATTTACTTTCACTAGAGCTGTTTCGTCAGAGTGCCTTTCTTAAGTGAGCTATTTTTGTTATGCGCCTTAACACTTTATAGTCTTTAACTAAATAAATTAAGGAGGGGAGAACTGTTTGTCTCAAGTTGGTCATTCAGAATTATATCTGCATTTTTTAATTTGTTACCTTCCATAGTTTCTATTAATGATAGCTGTAATTTTTAATGTGAACAATTTGAAATTGGTTATTCACTTTCAGCTCTTCTTTAATATTTCCAAGCAGCAACGTGATGCCAGTATATAAAATTTTCTTTAACCCAATTATATCAGTTGAATTACATAAAAAAATAGTTAATTATACGTCGAGACATAAAATTTTCCACTGTTGAAATTAAGAAAAAATCAGACGCACTATACTTGAGAATCAAATTTGTAGGCAGTAAATTCTCCGAACTATGAATGCGATAAAGCAACAAAATCGTTGCCAGTTTGTAATGATAGATATTTTAGCAATTTATAATTTAATCATTAACATGTAGCAAAATTATCATATTAATGATCGTTTTGTATTTGTTAAGGTATATAATAAAATGTATTTAGTAACATCAATATTTATGTATAATATTCTATTTATTTACAATACTTGTATATAGAAACCATCTAAAGTACGATAATATTCTTTGTAAAAGTCATACATGACAACATCGCATTCTAGGATCGGTAGAAAGGAATAGTGGATCAACGTTGTCATCATATAGAGATAAATTGCTCATTGACTTCCTAGCTTAGCATTCAGTAGCGTATCGTTCACACTGTTGCAGTGACTTTTAAAAATGAATCTTAATATAATATGATATGAGACTTATATTTAACTTTGAAGTGTATACTTCTTATCGCAAAAAAACACTTACTTTCAAATTCCATAATTTTGAACAAAACATATGAGACAAAGAAACTTTCTATGACATTTAATGACAAACTATAATTTTTTTTAATGACATTTTTTGTTTGTTACACAAATTAATTATCAAAAAGGCAGGTAGAGAGATTTACCCTGCTGTTATTTCAATGAAAAGTTTCTCTTCATTGGAATTACTTATATTTTAAATATACTAATTTACATAATTAGGAAAATCCAATTCTGAACTTGCCGAATACATGAAGTGAACTTTTACTTTTAGTGAACATATAAACACTCACGCATATATATATATATATATATATATATATATATATATATATATTATAATTAAATCAAATAAATCGAATCGAATATACCTAGTATATATAAGAAGTATTCATTTTTTTAAGAGCAAAGTATATTGGTACAAAGTGTATTTTAGTTTGAAAACTAAGTTAACAAAATGATCGAAAAGATACATACGAAAAAATGATACATACGAAAGTAATCTTAATAAAATGGTTTGACCTCCATAGGAAGTTAAAATATTAATCAGCGTATGAAGACGACTCGTCGGCTGATGAAGAGCTATCGCGATCAGTATTATTTACATTGATAATTAATGGTTCAACCGAAATGTCCACTCTTGTGTCTAAGTCCCACATTCTACCTTCTTCTTTAATAGTGTGTCTTATACGATTTTTCCAAGCCTCAGGTGTGACATTTTGTATGGCAGTAGCTAACAAGCACTTCACCTCCTCCATTTTAAAACTCAAGTTTTCCCTTGCCACTTGGTTTTTTATTTGAGCTCATATAAGCTCGATAGGGTTCAGCTAACAATGATAAGGAGGGAGGCGATGTACAATTATGTTGTTTGCACGAGCCATTTCATCGACTGCATATTTCTTGAAAACGGGTATATGTATCCTCGCGAGGTTTAATAATTGTACTTTCAACATGTTGTCATCGAATGGTATATTGTTTGAGAGAGCCAGTTGACTATTTCACCTTTTCGCCAGGCAGTCGTTGGTGATGGTTCCAACCGTCGACTGTGGTATGACGCATTGTCCATAACAACGACAGAATTTGCTTCAAGGCTTGGTAGCAAGCCTTGAAGCAAATCTGAAATTTGAAAACCAACCTTCGAATCTTTGAGCGTCCATTTCCTCATGGTAATCGTTGGTTTTCTTGGATTCGAATAGTAACAAGCCGTTGTCCAAAAAACCCGATCGCTGCCTATATGTGTTATTATGAGCCTCCGTCTTTTACCCACTGGTGTTTTTAATCCTAATGAAAGCTCTTCAATGAAGGCTTGTCGATGGCTTTTAATTTCCAAATCTTGCCACACCTTTGAGACAGTATGACCTTGATTTAGCCAAGTTTCATCTAAATAGTATACTTTTCGTCCTTCACGACGATACTCTCGGATTTTTTGTAAGTAATTTCTCCGCCACAAAACAATTTCATCTTTTTCTAAAAGAATACTATTCCTGCTTCTTTTTATCTATTTAATGTTCATTTGTTCCAATGTTCGTGCCAAAACACGTCGTGATATTTTGGGTATTGAATTATCGGAATTTATTTCAACTTCAACTTTCTTTAAGGTTGGGATTTCATTCCGAAAAAAGAAAGCATGCAATTTCCTCCGAATAGCATATTTGGTATGATCTTCAAGCTGAATGCGTTTTCTACCTCTGGTTTCAACAGGTCCATCATTTAATTTGCCTTCACTTTGTTCTTCAAATTGTTTACAATTCTGTATACACTTCTCGTCGAAACTTTAGTCAAATCACTACACAGGGTAACTACATCATTGACCGACATACTTTCATTCCTTTCACGGAGTCCACAATACACATTGAATATAATGGTTTTTTTTTCCCATCGAAAAATTTACACGTTGTTTACTTGTACTGCTTTCACTTTCCATATTACTCACAACAGTAAAATACGTGTTCACTGCTTAGATAATCTAATCGATATGTGAGTCATGTCCTGCGGTGGGGCCACGATGAGTAGAATACTATTTTTCTGACCTCACGTTGCGTAGCAACGATGAATAGAATCGATGGTTGCTGGGCAACGTGACGCCAGCAAAATAGTATTCTACTCATCGTCATCACACCACTGTTTACTTCGATAGCAAAACAACTGAATACCTGAGTAGCCGACTTTCACCGACTATCGCGGTTTTAGGGAGATGTAACTATTACCTTCTTAACTAAAATTATATTTATTGTAATTAATTCAAATTTATAAAACAATAATAAAAAGTAATGGGTTGTTCAGCGATGTAGTATATCTTTTCTAAGTAAAAATATTAAGAGAATAAAAGTTTTGATTCTAAAAGTATGTCGAGTGGGAGAAAATTGAACGTATTAAACGAGCACTGAAATATGTATGTGGCGTCCTTCATCATTTTTAGTGGCGAATTTTGATTTCTCGTCCCAAAAAACTCCAGCTTACCAAATTTCATGTTGTTATCCCATGCCTATCACGAAATATTCAAAAATAAAAGTTTAACTTTGACACCCTTTTTATTTTGGTTATTATCAACTTTCGTACTAAAGTAAGTTAGTTTAAATCTTCCTGTTTTAATCTCAGGAATCTAAGATTAAGTTATGTCCATTCGTTACCAAACACCATGTATATTATATTAATATAATATAATAACCCAAATGTCAACAATAATCATATTAAAATTAACATAATTATAAATAGGTACATATTTATTTAATACAAATAGCTTTGTCGTAACTTCTTATGATATTTTTCGTACGCCATTGGAAAACCTACAATAGCAATGAACCATCATTATTACTTCCAAGAATTTACTGCCTAGATTTCTGGATTCTGACTATAGCGCGTCGTGGGCACTGCAGTATAGTATACACTCATACATGCTTCATGACGCGGTAGAGCGTCTGTAAATGTAGTAAGAGTAAAAGTGATAGTTTTGGAATAAAGACGGAAATTAATAAAAAAGTTTCATGCAAAAAGTGTTTATTACTTAGAGAAAAAAACAAAATAAAAATTCAGGCAAAATATTGAAAACTACAAAATCTTTCAACATGTTTAAATATGAGTTATTGTACAACAGTCTAAACAAAAGCCTGCTTTGTCTGGACAAGAATTACAGTCATAAATTGTATCCTTGCGTACACCACGCTCGTAACTCTTTCTACACATTTTTCTCATGATACCACATTTTTGTTCTTGACTTCACGTTTCTCCACAATATGATTTTGATTTTCTGGAAGAGATGATGCAACGCTAGAAACTCCATTTGGAAACACCATATCTCTAATAACAGACAAACGAAATTCATACAGCCCAACTCTTCTTCCCGTATATTTTTTATACCACATATGGGAATTCACCATCATCATTTGTATGATCTGGAAAAAAATTTTGTTCGGCCATCTAACCGTCTTTTTTGAAAGGGGTAATAGGCAAGCATTTAATCTTGTCGATCTATAACCCCCATATTGTCGATTGTATCTGACAATTGCGTTCGGCTTAAAAACCTTTTTACCTCTTCTTGTCACAAATTATTGCATATCATGTTGCACTTCTGCTGATATATAGTAAATATCTCGTTTATCTTTCCATTTACCTCCTAAATGCCGCCTACTATGCCGCTTTGATATCTTGCAATACCCAACGCCTAATTTTCCCTCTAATAGTTTAAAAACAACTTTTT